ATCTAGTCCCCCTCTCTATCATCGTTCCTCAGACAGCCTCAGGGTATTCAGCCTTTTCTTTTAGAAGAGGTTTCCTAAACTATCTTGTCATTCTCACTGCTTTCCTCTGAACTGTCTCCTGCTTCTCCATGTTTTTGTCAACCTGTAGTGTCCACAACTAGGCACAGCACTTTATCCATGGCTTCATTGTCCCAACACAGAACAAGGGGTTTCTTTGCATGTGTTACACATTTCAGAATTAAAGTTTTTAATGTGTGACATTGTGAGTTGGTCTTCTGCCTGCAAGCCCTGGTTCGTTTTCTGAAGATCAGGTATCTATTCAGTGATGGCACTACTCCATTTCACTGTTTTATTCTGCCTGTGTATAAAACTTGCACTTAATCTTTAAACTGCATTCTAATTTTTTTTTTGTCCAGCGTATTGAGGTCACTTTGAATTTCTTTCCTGCCCTCTATAGTTTCTCCTGGCCCAGCATCTTCTGCAAATGCAGTGAAGTTTGTCTATATTCATCATCCAGGTAACTGTTGAAAATACTGAATAACCAAAGACCCACGTTCTAACCCAGGGACCACCTTTCAAAGCATCCTTCTCTTCTGGTGGTTAATCAGTGCCACTCAACATGCTCTTCCATCCGACACAGTTCTGAACCATTTTAAGGGCACTTCCTTTTCAGGGATTTTCCAATCACTTTTGTGCTCACCTCATGATTCATCTAGGATATATTTCCATAACTTCACAGATAATGTAAAAATTCTCTTTGCATTTCCGTTGTAAAATGGAAATCAAGCAGAGAGAGAGGATGCCTTGGGTAAGGAGCTCACTGCAGAGGCTGTGTTCAGACTCGTGCACTTTACAGCATTAAATATACTTGATTGACTATACTTGATGGTAAAAAAGGAGGAGAGAAGGAACAGATATGATTATGCAATAATATGCTTCCTTTATCAATTTAAGTTCCTGATTTTTTTCTGCTCAGGCCAAAGGGCTGGTGATTGCAAGTAAGAATAGGAAGGAAGTTACCTGTACTATTCAGTTGTATTTGCATGGGGAAATATTAAAGAACCCAATCTAGGCACTGATGTATTAAGGAAGTTGTGCCAGCACTCACTACATGGAAACTAAATATATCAAGAATTTTTCACATAAGCCAGGAGTTCAGCTGGACACTAAGTCTGAGGAGAAAGAGACTAAAAATTCAGTCTCCTCCAGATGTGCTCATTAGACACTGTTTTATTGTAATAATAATGTGCTTGGTGTCTGATTTCTGGGGGATTTTTGGCTGTTGCTGTATGCTAACCTGATAATTTTTGAGAACAGACAAAAAAACCCCAACACAATGACATGTTGTGGTTTAACCCCAGGCACCAACCAAGCAGGATTTGATTGATGAATTAAGCCCAACACTGAGTACTGGGTTTGCAAGGCTCCTTTCAGTTTTATGGTCCTCACATATTTATCACAGAACTCAAGTGAAATCAGTGAAAGGAATAATTAATAAGAGTGTAATGAACCACATCCAGAATGTTTGACAGGAAAGACTGTTGTCAGTCACTAAATAAGCAATTTAAATTCTATTTCCAAATTCAGTAGGGGTTTTCAGGATGGATTTCTCTCGTGCAGCTGAAGCTGCCTAAAAGACCCATGTTTGGTTTAACCTAGTCATGCTGGTTTAACCATTGCCTGCAGATGGGAGGGAGAGAAGTTGAGAAGACTGATTCATCTGGTGGATGTGGATGTCCAGAAGAGGAGGTGAATCACTCTCTAGATGCTCTTGTTGACTCTCCATTGACTCAAGGGGGAACTTTGGCAACTGTGCTGACTGTAGAACTCCTTCTTGAATTGAACCCAAATCCTTGCAAATACCCTTCACTTCAGATGAGAAATTCGTGTGCCTCGTGTCAGTTCCATCTCGCTTTCATGGGAAAGAAAAAGTGATTAAAACCAGTTTGACCATTATAAGTAATTAGATTGGATGAAAAATTTCTGATGGTCATTTCAGGGACTTGGTATAACTGAGGCTTCCCCATTCCTCCGCTTTGCAGCAGAGCTGGATGCTGCTGTGCAGGTTGGGAAGGGCCCTGTGTGTGGCCCTTGTGCATCCTGTGAGTCTACAACCACCATTACCATAATTTTAAGGACATATAAGCAATACTGATTACAGAGTTTATTTAGCAATTAAAGCCACTCCCAGACCCTTCCCTAGGAAGCTCGGTATAAAATGTTATTCCCTTGAATAGAATATTTGTGTAAGAGTGATTCGTATCAAAAAAAAGTAGAAGAAAACACAAAGCTTGTTTATTTTAGTGAATTATGTGGATGTTTATCACTTCTTTGAACTGAGAAGAGCTACAGTAAGATCACAGTGTTGTCCTTTCTTCAAGCTGGCTTAGAAACCAGTTTAAAGAAAGGACAGACCCCCAGACCAAATGAGTTTGTGTACTTAGTTTTAAAAGCACTTGCAGGATTTCAAAAGGCCCTTGTTAAACCTAGGCCAAAAAAAGCTGGAGCTGTGAGCTGTGCCTGTGGTTTGCTCCCTGACAACTCCATTTGTGCATCTTTTGCGGTCTTGTGGCACTGAACAAAAATAATCTTTATAATCTTGTCTGTGGTGGTCTGAGCTACGTGAGAGGCGCCTTTCCTCCCAGTCTCTGCTGAAACAGAGAACTCCTCCCAGCAGCAAAACTCTGGTGATCAACGGAAGAAAGTCAATGAGCAACGGAGACAGCAGCACCTTCTTTTCCCCCTACACCTTCCTAGATCTCAAGATGCTTTTTTTTGTGTTTCCCTCCACCACTTTCCAGGTATCCACTGAGTTTTCACAGTCCATCCCCTCCTTTATAGCCACACCTAATTCTGTTGCTAATATCTCATGTTTATCATCTAAATTATAATGCTAGTTATGATTTTTTCTCATAAGCCCCGTTTTTTTCTGTGCCTGGATACCTTTCCCCCTTGCTGGGTCCCTCTGTTCTCACCCTGCCCTTCTCTGCCTCGCTCTGTTTCGGGTCAGTTCCTTGCAGAAGCACCACCGTTTTTTTTCCTGGAATCGTTTAGCAAACTGACCTATTTCACAAAGCTGACCTGACTAATACCTCTCACAAGCCATAACCGTTTTTTTCTGACCTTTAAAGGGCTTAAACGCCGAGTTATGGATCTTTCTCATGCAAACTGTGTTTGCAGCAATTAACCGCCTGGGGTCACCGTTCCTTTCAGTACAACTCACATTTCACGTTCAGACCCGGATAAAAACTCACCCTTTCTAACAAAACGTAAATGGCTATTACCCACCTACACTGAGGTTTGCAGCTTGAAAGCAAATGGCTACATGAAAGATTGAACTAAAGGACTGCAGAAAAGGTCCCCTATCTCTGTCTTCATCATGCAAACAGGTATGGAAAATTAAATAGTTTGGCCAGGCAAGAAATAGAAGCAGATGTTGTGGAGTAAATCCCTGCACGTCCAAAGAACAGACCCCATGTTTAGTGAGGAAAGGAAAAATTGTGTTTAAAAGTTAAGGATTTCTTTCTGGGCAACATAACAAACATGTTTTACCAGCCCAGATGGCCACAGAGTTCAGGCAGTTGCATATTTCCAGGCATCTTGGAAAAAGGTAGAGAACTGGGGACTAAGACTTTCAGACATATTTTTCAGGAGTAAAACCCTCTAAATCCTTCAGTGGGCTTTGGCATGAGCTTTTCTTATTATACTGTTAAATAGGGAAGATGATTTGATATTAAATCAAGGGCAGTAAATATCTGTGGAGCACAAAGCAGCCCTGGGGTGAGCAGAGCATTTTACCCACAGCAGTTGCTTCAGAAGGTTTGCTTGTTCTCCCTGCCCTGTTGCATTTGGATTTGGGAGGTAATCTCCTGGCCAAAGCCTCATAGCTGACAAACCCCCCAAGAGGACTTGTCACCTGCATCAGTGAAGCTGCACAAAATCTTTCATGAAAAGGGCAAAGGGAGATTCATCCAGAGAGAGGTAGGAGATTGACGAACGCAGCTGTAGCAGCATTTAAAAACGTTTCACATCAATTTCTTAGCATGCCTGTTAAGAAGATTTAATTTATTAAGGATTTATAAGGCAGAAGTAAATGTCTAGCATGTAGTAATCATGATAGAATACCACAGTTAGTTTAAATCTGCTTTTACCATAGTCTATCCCAATTACTTCTCTAGATACTAACAAGAAATTATTTCTGTGGAAGTGGCTAAAAAGAACCTACATGAAGTCTGATACTTCCTTGATCATTTCCAGTTTTTCACTGACATTTGGAAGAATTTCACTGAAGCATTTCACATCCAGATAATTTAGGAACAAGGCAAAACCTTTCCCTACCTGCCAGCCTCATCCTCATGGGGTTTTTTGTTTGTTTGATCAAACTATCCATCCTTCAGAACCTCAGCTGTGATTCAGAAAAACTGTAAACATGCTTACAACAAAAATAAACACAATGTGGCTTTATCATCATAAGCAGAAGACCTCCAAAAAGCCAAAAATATAGCCCATGGAACCATCCCTTTGTAGACAGAGCCCACAGGTGGTGCCTGAGGTCCATCGTCGTACACCTATCAGACAACTATTCCACAGCGATGGTCCCTCTCCAACATCCATCCAGCCACAGATTTGGAGTTCAGTGCCTGCACAAACCTACCAAAATCTTACCCCTTTCTACTGACCTCAGCTGTAGTGAAACAGCTCTGGAGTCAGCAGCTCTGATGTGTCAAACCACTTCCTACTCGCGATGGCACGCTCCGCCACGCCGAGCATGAAGCTTGATTTCCTGGATAAAAGCTACTAATACCAGAACAGAAAGCAGCCTTTATTCTCTCCCGTGGAGCCAGACAGCAAAACAACTATTTTCTGACCAAAGTCCTCCCTGCACACATGGGGTGATGCTCCCCACTGCTCTAACCATGCAGTGACTGGCTCCTTGGCTTGGTTGGCAGCAGCTCATCGCTTCTGAGGAACTTCACCGTCCTCGGCGGTGCAGGGAAGAGATGTGGACAAGCCCCATGGAGCTCAAGTGCCTTTTGATGTGGCTCTTGTTTGGATTCGTCAAGGGGAACAAGCGAGGTAAAAGACTATTTTTGCCTCTTGGGGAGGGAAAATGTGATTTGGGTTTCTTTGTGGGGGTGTTGGAGGATGTTCGCAACATCCCGACGCCTTTCAGCTAAGGAAAGATGTTTAGACCTTAAGGAATTTATTATTCTAAGGAAATGAGAGAAATGGGTTTTGTGGCCACAAACCATTAGCTGCAGAAAATCCAGAGCTTTACAGGATATTTTTCATCTGAGTAACGTATGTATCCTCCAACTCATCATTGGAACAGTGGGCAGATCAAAGCAGCCTTGGGTAGCTCTTTGAATTTGCTTTTTCCATTTTGCTTGTAAATTCAGCAAATATAAAAATAGACACTGAAATGTCAGTACCTCTGTAGGTAAAATTGATGGCAATGCCATTAGTTAAAGGGCACCATCCAAATTTGCTACAGGTACTACAGATATGAAATATTTTTCAGCCATGCCTCCCAACCAGTAGCACCTATAAACTGTGAATGGAGGCAGCTAATTCATTCAGCTTAATTTTACACATTTATAAATGGTGATACTGCTTATATTTGGCTTGTTTATTGCGACAGGTGTGTACATTGAGAAACAGTCTGGTGATATATATTAGTGTATTTGAATTTTGTTCAAAGGGGGAAAGAAAAGTCTTCCATTCTCAGTGCTCCATAAAAGTGATATTTCCTGCATATTCTGTAATTCTGTGATGATGGTGTCCAGGTTGAGAGGTATGAGCACATACAGCCTAAGGCAGGTTCTCAGATACGCTGGAGCTGTAACTGCTGATGGATCATCTTTAGCAGGGCTGGGAATTTTACTCGGGGCTTGCCATCCCAAGGGAAGAGTGTGTTACTAACGACTAAACTCATTAATGCAGGAAGGACCTTCACAAACGTTTAACCCCCAGGTGATTTTTTTTTTTTTTTGGTCATTGAAGTGTTTTGCCAGTAAATGCTGTACCTTCTCCTTCACGGGGCATTTTCCCTGGCAAATGAAGTGCCAGTGCCCACGGAAAGTGTTTCAGGGAGTGCAGGAGCATCTCTGCGAGACGCTCAGCCAGAGATGCGTCAGTAGGATCAGTTCTGGGATGAGTCAGGTTCCCCAGATCACATTTTCTGTATTACTGTGCCTGGAACATGTTGTGAAATTTCCTGCTGGCAAGTCTCGTTTATCAGAAATCTTTCTGGTTTTTTTTGAAAAAAAAAAATAAAAAATAGAGGGGTGTTAGAGCAGTTGCATTTTATGCTGTTTGATGTGATTTAATTTGCTGGTGAATGAATAAATGCAGAGCATTGCATTCTTCACTGTATTACTAAGCTCTTCTTTCCTCAGCTTCCTGTGTTTATTTTCAATGTCTCTCTCAATGTTTAAACATAATATTTATATATATATTTGTAATTATAGAATATATATATGTGTATTTATATAGGTATCTCCCTGCAAATAATATGCTAAGTTAGAAATACCACCTTTTACCAATTAAGGGTTTTTAATTGTAGAGACACCTGAGGTATTGTGGCTGTAAGACCTGTTGTTTTTAATTCCTTAGGAGGATCAACAAGGAGACCTGGGAACAGATATAAGCGAAGTAAAAGGAATAGGCTGGGTCAAAGTGGTCAAAAATCAACCATGTCTCAGCACATATAGTGCTTTTCTTATTATTTTGCCTCTGTCTTTTCAGCTCATCCCAGCATTGCATGTTCAAGTTTGTAAATAGATCCTGCCCTAAACATTGTTTGGCAAAATCCACTACCAGGAATAAGCATAATTAGAGGGAAAAGAATATAAAAAGCCCTTTTTTTACAGAACAGTTTCACCAATAGATCTCAAAGTGCTTTGAGAAGGCAAAGTTCTCTGACAAAAAAGTAGGAAAACTAAGGTGTGGGATGATCATTCATTTAATAAAAATTAAACTATTCCTTAAAGAGAAGAGAAATGCCGACTTTCTTGTGAAGATCATCACATTTATCTCCTTTACTCTGCACAGCAGCAATACCTAGAAGCTGCAGGCATGGATTAGGCTTGAAGTGAGGGTCAAACACAAGGTAAAAGCTGGTCTGTGCTCCTACAACCTTTCCATCTTGCTGTTCATCTCACAGGAATACACTGAATAGATTTGCAAGTTAAACCTGGAAAGGATTAAAACCCACAAAAGAAAGAATTTCATTCAAGTGAATTTCATTCACACAAGATGGGTACCAGATCTCTGTCATTTAAATGAGAGGAATTTCTTTCCCATTATACTTGCATATTCGTGCTGGCTCCCATGGATTTGAAATGCAATGCAGAATACATTAAAGCTGTCAAACATGTACAAGTGTTTCTTGTAAGGTCAACCAGAGAAAAAACCTTTATAAACCTTTCAGCCACAGTGGCCCTCAGCAGCAAAACGCCCAATATACAGCCTCAAAAAAAAAACAAAGGTTAAAAAAAATTGTTAAATATTGTGATGCTACAAGCAGGTATTACAGAGAGAGATCCTGCAGTATCCACTTCTTCCTTCCTCTGGAGAAATTATCTTCCCACCTCATCAGAGATGAGATGTTATGTCCCTTCCTTTTATTGCAGAAAAAAATCCACTCTTTATCTACTTCTGGAAAGCCACTGCTTTTGACTTTGCTTGCTATTGCCTTCAGAGTGTTGCAATTTTTTTCTCCCTGCTTTCTTTCTCAATGTACAGCTTTGTTTCTCCCGTTTTCCCTGTTGCATTAAAAGCCCAGCTTTTGGATATTTTCTACCGATATTTTGCATTCCCTGACCCTGGTCCTGAATCTTGGAACAACCTGGATTACTGAGTCTCTGCTCCGTCTCCTCCATGCTTCTCCAAAACTCACAAATCCAAAATCCTTCCATGGCTTTCCTCACTTGACTCCCTGTTCCTCAGCCCTGCCAGGGTAGCAGCACTCTGTTGTCTGCTGATTTTTCTTTATGTTCTTGATTTGTAAAGCCCTCAGATAAAGAATATACAGAATATACTTTCCCTTGTTATGTGGGAAAGTATTTCATGCAAGGCCAGAAAAATCATCTACATGTACAGAAAATTTCCATCTTCAGAGCTTCAGTAAAAAGCTCCATAACAATGCGAAGTCCAAAAGTCAAATGAGGTGAAATCAAAAGAGCTCCACCAGACCATTTTTTCACTGTTACCCAAGACAGGGACACACACTTGTCAGATCATCCAATTATTTTCAGAGAGGATATTCTCTGCTGTCCTTTCAGTCCTACAAAAGGCAAGACTGAGAAAGTTCCAGGCAAAGAAAAGAATCTGAATCTCTGCTGCTGCTTAAAAAGCCAATTTTCTTTCTCAGTAATTTGTTTTTCCTTTTAGATGAAGACAATAAAGGCATGGGTTTTACTGAGGCAGCAGATTTAAGCGAAAATGTAGCCAAATCTATTCAAACTCCAAATGTTGCAAACCAAAACAAGGCTTTCATGCATGATATTCTCAAAACCTGACTCTGTGTTCTGCTACCAAACCATGTGTCGTGGTTCCCTTTAAAGAGTTTGATCTCTGTGGCTTCACCACAGAGCCAAGGATGTTATAAACACCCAGAAACAAACACAAATGTTCTCCATTCTTTGCTTAGTACATTTTCTATGCAGCACTCCGTGCTCAGGCTAGTTTTCCTCCCTCTCCCTGCTTTAGAAAGCACTCTCCCTCTTTCCTAATGCTCTTTCAATTCCACATTTTCAGTCCAAGTCCCCAGCTCGGCCTCCCTGATAGGGTAGGAGTGAGATTCATCAATGCATTAGGTAAATGACCCTAATTATCAATGTGAGCATGTAAGAGGGTTCTTCCACCACTGTAGCTGATAAAAACAGAGAAGCACCTTTAAGCTTTGCTTTGGAGAAGTTAAATTAGGTGTCTGCTGTCTTCTAGAGAGGTCTACCCAGCTCCACTTCTTACAGAAGGTGCTAAGAAGGCAGATTCCTGAGGCTAAAATATGCTTAGCATGAGAAAACCTAATCCACTGTCCAACCAACTCTGGCCTTGGTGTATATGGAATTGTTTTTTGCATTAGATTCCACTGCCTGGGTCAGTGGCAAACAGCTGGTCAGCATCATGAAGCCAGGAGATAATATAAGTGCATTTCTCCCAAATCTAGTTTTCTGTGGTCCTACAAGAAGTTAATGGACAGCTCCTGTTGGCTTATATTCCAGTTTATTTTATACTGTCTTTCCAACAGAGACATTTGTACAGCAAACCCATCAGGCACTGAACTGCCTAGTCCTTAAGATAGGATGTGCCTCCTCTCCACTGTTGGGAATATTCAAACCCATCTCCTGCCTTATAAGGCTGATCTCCCTCACTCTTTGCATTAAAACTTGTGCCTGGTCAAATGATTTTATAAGATAACGTCTGTGTAATCTTATGTATAGCTAATTAAAATCCCACAGACAAATTACCATAAACTTGAGGTCTGCACTCTAGCCCCACAGCTGGCATCTATTCCCAGTTTACAAATCCACATAAACAGTAAATGACATTAATAGGAGGGGAAAGAATCCTGCAGAGCTGAGGCTTGCTTGTTAACAGACCCTTGGGGAGTAAGTTTTGAAGTTAGAAAAATTTCATTACCATTTCGGTCCAGTTGTCAGTATCGATTCCTTCTCTTCACTCACACCAGTTTCATCTTCAAGAGGCCATTTAGAGAGCACACAGTTTCACACAGCACATGAATCCTCAGGGCTGCTCTGCCTCTACAGACACATCTGGGGAAATATCTTCATTTTGGCCTCGTTTGACTTCTTGCTCACTCTGGGGAGAGGTGCTTTTCCTCTCTGAACTGGGCAGGTGTGTGAAGTGCCTGGTTTCTTCCACTGCTTCTGCCCAAATCTTCAGAACAACCAGTTTCCTACTGATCCTGTCTTACTGCCTTTGTATTTAGGGGAAAATCATCCTATTTCTGCACCTTGACATTTTAATTTCACGTCAGAATAATGTCAGTGCTGGTGACACACAGCCACGTGACAGAGGAAATTCTGAGTTCAGGTTGTCATGGTGTGACTCACTGTCTGTGTTTTACCTAATGCTAAAAATACCTGTTACAAAATTTTCCCTGTTCACTTCTCACGGACAAAAGGTGTTGTTCTGATGCCTCATCTATCACTGCTCTGCCAACTCAGACATGAAAAAAGTAGGCAGGAGAGCTTCATAAATCCTAATACTAAGAGCAGTTTTGTGGTTGGGTCCGTAACATACGTGAATGGGAATCCTCAGGGAAGAAATGAAAGTGCTGAAAGAACTCATGCTGATGTAGCTACTGGGTTTCTTTACCTCCACTAAGTCCTGTGTGATACCAGACAACTGATGTGGATGTCGAGGGCCTCTGAAACACCTCAAATAGCATCAGGCTTCTTAGCTTAAGCAGGGGTAGCAGGAATCCCACCTATGTTTTGGCTCAGATGACAAGGCTTGCAGGTCTCAAATAATTTATCAACTTCTCTGACCCCCAGGAGAGGCAAAAATACTTTTTATGTTTCATGGATGTCTATTGTCTGAATTCACTATTGTCTGACTTCTCCTTCTAATTCCAAGGGTTTGTCTCCATCTACTTCATGATTATAATTGAAACCATCTCCAGAATTTCCAGAATTGCTGTAGGCACTAAAAATCCACTAATATGGGGAGAAACAGAAATTCCCCTCTGCCTCAGGAGAGCTACGTGTTTTCACAATTCTGCAGCTGATAGAAGGGGTAAATCCCATGAATACAATTACATCAACCTCTCTGGTCCATTCAGTACCTCTAAGTTCAGAGAAATGCATTCCCAGGGTACTTTTGGAGTGTGGGAGATAAGAATGACAGGTAGAGAGATGATGAATCTTGTGAATTAAGGAAAGGGAGAACAGTGGACATTGGAATTGAAAGAGAAAAAATTAGTGACACTGAACACCTCACCATAGGGATGAAAGATTAGAATATGTGGGCAGGGAAAATGAGGATGCAAAGAGAACCTCAAGAGCTATGAAGGCTATGTGGGGGGCAGTATTTTAAACCAATACTAGCAGGAGTCCAGCCCTGGAGCAGCTCTGTTGGATGCAGAACCCAGTGAAAGCTGGGCTGTGCAAAACTGAGCCACCACAGGCTGCGAGGCAGGTTCTGCCCAGGTTTGCTGGCTTTTTGTAAGATGAATATCTTTGTATCACACCAACTCAAACAAATGGACAGACTAATTCCCGACCAGATGCAAAACAGCAAAAAAAAAGAGCAAAGTTAATTTCCCCTAAAAATCAAAATTCTAGTGAAGGAGTAAATTTATACTGCCATTCCCTAGTTCCCTACCTTCTTCCCATTCCTTGGCTCTTTTACCACCCTCACAGCAAGAATGGTGATTTTTTTTAGGAGCAAATCATGCAGTTTCCTTGGGCACAAGGATGGAATGAAGTTTTAGGCATGCTTCACTCCAGAGATCATCCTGTGTAGGGAATATGATCCAAGACTTCACCAGGTCTGCTTCCTCTCTGCACAGTCTTCCCATATTGTACCAGGAGGTCCCATGGCATGAAACACAAGAAAGACATTGATGGGCTGGAGCATGTCCAGAGAAGGGCAATGGAGCTGGGGAAGGGTCTGGAGCACAAGTCTGATGAGAAGTGTCTGAGGGAGCTGGGGGGGGCTCAGCCTGGAGAAAAGGAGGCTCAGGGTGGACCTTATCACTTCAACCTGACAGGAGGTTGTATGGGTTGCATGTTGAGTGCCTACTTGTTCTTGAAAGATGAGTAGAAGACCACTTAAAGACAAGCACCCCTGAAGATATATAAGATACTTTGGGACAGTGAAGAGCAATAATGGCAATGGGTATCTTGCAATATCTATATTATTCATGCACAGCTCCTCCCAGTGTGAAGACTGGTACAACAAAAACCCCAAAAGCTGGTGACTTTGATATCAAACACATTGGTGAGGAGCAATAGCATGTGAAGAGAACCCAATGTTTTGAAAGGTTATGATGGTTGCTAAGGAGAAGGTTCTTGAAAGTGAAAGCAAAATATTTGACGTGAGAGTGAAGCAGACAGAACTCAAAGGGAGGCAAGAAGAAGGTCACAATGAGATCTAGGAAATTAATCTATCAAAATTCTTTCTGAATCAGAGACAGGAATATGGTAAAGGCCAAAGAAGTCGATGCTGCAGCTATTTAGGTGTGAGAAGAGGTTTTTTTGAGCGATGTGGATGGCATTAAAAGGCTGGATCCTAGGAAGGTTGCAATGTGGGTGAGCTGATCCAGCCTGGTGGGCTTTGCTCGCCGTCTCCCATGTGCACCATTTCTGCACAGTCCTTGTCTGATGTGTGCAAGTTCAGAAGAACCCAACTTCATTTGATCATCAACTAAAACAGTGTTTGCCCTTTATGATGAGTAGGTTAAATGTTGTGGGTTTTCTTAAGAAGACACTAATGAGTTGTAGGTTTGAGTGCCTTGTGCTGAGATTCACATCTGCAGTCTGCTTCAAAGAGGCTTTTGAAGTCTTGAGGGAAACATGCTTTTAGCTTTCAGGGAAAGTGAGAGTACATGATCTCAACTTGCTGCTAATCTGATAACTCTTTAATTTTAATCACCCTGACAGTCTGTGGTAAACCATGTGGTTAACTATTTCGCGTGCAGTTGCTTCTCTCAAAGCCACAGTCTGATGTAGTTTACAAAGCGAATCCTTTGATAGCACGAAGATACAAGGGGATTAAAACGTCCCTTATGCAGATTAGTTTTTAAGCTGCTCACGTGTTTTTCACTGCAGCCTTCTTCGAACATTGTGACTTTTACTAAAGCAGCAAGATGATGAAAAGTAAAAAGGGCAGAAAAGATCAAAGTGAGGAAATGAAAGAAAAGGGCATTGCAGGGCTGGGGCTGGGAGCTGCAGGTTTAGTTGCTGTTGGTCTTTCAAGGAGAAGGCACTTTGGGAGTCAAGGGCAGGCACCAGATGATGAACAGCTATCAGGGATTCAGGAACCTTTCGCAGTCATTCTCAGCGGTTGCTAAGGCTGCATTAATTACGGCTGCAGAAAATGTGAGGACAAGATGACTAAGAAATTTTCCTCATAATAGCTGTTACTATAATGCATAAGCATAAAGGGCCACAGATCGTGCACCCAAAGATGTGGAGCGCCAGCCCTATTGCAACCAGCCTATCTTATCTTATAATTTCTCAGCCTTTAGTCCTTAAATGATCATTAAGTACTGCTTTTATCAACTTCTGGGTCTCCAACTCAGATTCAGTGGGCTTTTCAAGTGCACTGAAATGATCTAACTTAATTCATTCCAACTTATTGATAAGCGTATTTAGACGTGATTTGCTGATGACACAACACTTCACCTCCTTGTTTTGGGACACGTTATATTTAGGTTTGCAAACTTATTTCACAGTAAGCTGCTCTTTGGTGTACTCAAACAGAACTGTGAGTCTACACCCATTCCCAGGATTTGCTTATAGATGATTGCAACTTTTAGTGACTTAGTTTGGTTCATTGTGCCTCACTCCATAGGCTCAAGGCTGCACACTCTGGTCCTACTAACTGCTCTCCAATATGATTGTGTACAGCTTCATCAAGAAAACGTTGGTAGTGTTTCGTGTTGCCCATCTGCTGGACATGTCTGGTATTCAGAAGACAGAAAGATGTGAGATGGATAAAGTAGAATGACAGGCTGTCCTGATTCTTGGGCTTTCCATTTGCAGAAGGTTGCCCAGATCCTCCAAGGATTGAATTTGCTGATGTTACTGCTGAAATGTATGTGCCAGGGACCAAGATGTACTATGTATGTGACAGTGGTTATGACAGAAAAAGTGGCCATCACCCAGGAATTCAGTGTAACAGTGGACAGCAGGGTGCCTTTTGGGACTACAGTGGATTTGAATGCATTGGTAAGTGAGTGTTGTCCTTTTTCTATACGTGGAGGTGTTTTTCCAATGCATTAGTTGGTACAAAACACAGCTGGGCATTAACAAATGATCTTTTGTGCTTACCTTTGCAAGTTAGAACTTGAAGCAGTTCCATCCCACCTCTGAAAGTTTGGGTGCTCTGGCTTAGTTCTTCTCTTTGTCCTGCTGTAATTCAGCAAATGTAACTTCTCCTCAGATAAGAACACTTTGCTGTCAACGGGTCCCACGGCCGAGTTACATTTTAAACAGAAGCCAGAGAGTAAAGCACAAAGCCCCGCACCCCAGAAGCAAGAAAACTTTTCAGAGTTTGATCAGAAAGGTAAGTAGGAGCCCATCCATTACTGTAAGACCTTGTAGAGGTGTTTTTCCAATGAGTTAGTTAATATAAGACAGAGCTGGGCAACGCTCTAACAAATGATCTTCTGTGCTTATCTTTGCAAGTTAGAACTTTAAACAGTTGTATCCCACCCCTCAAAGTTTGGGCACTCTGGCTTTGCTCTGGTATTCATCCTACTGTAATTCAGCAAGTGTAACTTCTAGCACAGACGAGAAAATTTTGTTGCCAACAGCTCCCACAATGGAGTTAGAATTTACACAGAAGCCAGAAATTAAAACAAGGAGCCTTGCACACCAGAAGCAAGAAGACTTTTCAGATTTTGCCCAAAATTGTAAATAAGAGCCCATTCAATAATGTAACACTTCTCACACTGATTTCTATGGAAGCAGTGTAAAAGTGCTGAGTAATATTTAACTACTTTGCAGACAGAGGGAAAAAAACAGTTGCTGTAATATCTTGGCCAAGTAAGTGATATGATGTAAGCGAATGAGTATTTTATATCCTAACCAAGAATTAGGAAGGCTTGGTATATCCTGCTTGTCTGTACCTTGTAAGAATACAAATCATAATTCTCAAGAGCAAAAGCAGCATGTAAAATCTATCTGCTTCAGCCGTGTGCTGCCTTCTGATCCCACAGATTTTTGTGGTCCCCCCAAGACTGTTCCACATGCCTCCATAAGAGTGAAGAAACCCTATTACATGGGACAAGTGCTACATTTCAAATGCCAGAGTGGTTATGATAAGCGACCCCCCACCTCTGGCACCAGCACGTGCGAGAAGGGGAACAGCAACATCACCTGGACCCCCCTCGACGTGAGATGCACCAACGGCAGCAACGCGTGGCCACCACAGACTGTTGAGCCAGGTGAGATGGTTTTTATTGCACCACATCACCGTCATGACCTGTTCATGCAGGGTCCAGACCACCCAACTCAGCATATCAATCCTAGGGAACAACCTGTTGGGGGGTTCGGGATGGAGGGATCAGGTAACTCAGAGCTCCGACGTGGAGATGTCATTTCTGACTGCTGGAGATGACACCTCTGGGGAGGACACAGGTGCATCCTACTTTGTCTTTCATACTAACTGCAAAATTGCGTCTGTGACTGCACTGAGAGGCTCTCTCTGGGCATCAAGCAGAGCTACTGAAGATGGACAGACCCAGCTGTGCACACCCTCTACAGTCCACAGGCTTCTATTACCCTCCTCTGGGTCAGTGAAGTGAAATGAATTTTAATGAGGTGGGAGCCAATGCAAGGACAACATGAGAGGACTTTTCCTACCAACAGACTGGAGAGAAAAAAAAAACACCAGGTTTCACCAGTACTTTGAGTTTTAAGAGGAAAATAATCTTGCAGAACTGTAGATGCCTACTGCATAGGTGCCCACATCTGAGTTGGATTGCCTTTATAACCAACAGAGGGGATAGGTGTTGGTGGCACTCTGTTAGCTGCCCTATTTCACATCTATTTTAGATGAATTATCCCTTGCAAAGGCTTGTTTCTCCCCAGTGACTATAGCCCAGCCTGGAGGACTATCTCAGAGGCCACACAGAACAGTAGGTGAGAGGAATTCCAGCCCTTGTGACCACACCAGACCATGTGGCAGAGCAGGATGGTTTGGGCAGGTCCTTTTTGTTTGCAGAGTGACCTCTCAGGTGACACTTGGCCATTGTTGGCTCTCGTTGCTACTCTGATTGTAAGAATGAATGGCCTGATTCACCTGACACTCTCTTTCAACATTAACCCAGGACTTTCTCCCCTATTTCATAGATCCCTCTGTTTCCGTGTGGTGCCCAGTTCAGAGTGTTCCAGGTACATCAGTAACAATGTGTTGTCTGGTCTTTCCTCTTCCATCACAACAGTAATATTTTTTCAATTGAAAATTTCACTTGTTACTATCAGGGTGAAAGTACTTCTTGCTGTATGTTGCTAATCCACCAACATACCAGTCCTAGAAAATGATACAGCCTATTGAATGGTCAGAAATTATAAGTATTTTAAAATTACAAATACTTCAAAATTTTAAAACTAGGATGATGAATGAAAAAACATGAAACTGGAAAATTAAATAGGACCTCCACTTTTAATTCAGCAGAACAATAATTCCAGTTTCCTGCAAAATGCACTCAAACCTAATCAAGGTCAGGTCCTTGTAATTAGAGCATCAAACATTTATTCCCCTAAAGTGTTGCTTTTCTATTTGTTATGATGTGATATCTTCAGTGAAGCTTGATAAGAAATATCCCCCCCTTTCTCAGTTCTTCCCCCAGCGCTCAGCACAAAGAGATTTATCAACAGACCACTCTTCAAGAACCTCTTGTTAAAAACCTCCATATCTCATACTGGCACAAGTTCAGAGATTCCTTTCAGAGATAAGAGAGAAATCCAATGAATTTTTTGCACCAGGGAAGTTCTGGCTTATATTTCTGGGCCCAAACATGTCCTGTTTGAAACCATGTTTGCAAATCCTAACTTGGCACTTTGAAAGTCATCCTTCCCAATCTCATACGAAATAGAGATCTTAGATGGATCCCATTCCAGTTCACTTCATGCCCACCATTAACAGATATCATATCAGCACATATGTTGATATCCAGGCTGGAAACATCTACTGATGGCTGAGAAACAAACATGGCAATTATTAATTCTTCTGTGCAGAGGGGGAGCCATCAGACTCTACGCTCACCACTGCTTTGATGCTGGAGCAAGCTGGTTCTTTGCCTGACTGTGTCCTCATCACTGCTATGATGCTGTTTGTCAGAAGAGAAAATTGACACAAAAATCAAGAACTTCTCTCTCTTCATAGGTTTGACTCATCCATCCCTTTCCTCCTCAGTGACACTGCCAGTGACAGGTATGTCATTTTGTTAAAGACTTCACTCAATCACCCAGAGCAATTATTTTGCCTTTCAATTTGCTGTTCTACCAAACAGCTCTATTTCTGTTAGAAAAGCTAATAAATATACTTCAAGACAGACCTACGTCCATGTATTGGGCAAGTTACCAGAGACAGCATAAACAGATTATTTAAGCACTTAAGCTTTTTATAAAGAAGATTTCTTAGGCTCATAAGGGATGTAAAAGAAAACAGATCAACCAAAAGTCTAGTTTTTAAATTAAACCATTTTCAGATTCTTCTCTGAGACTTTCTGTGAATTCAGTGAATCACTTCAATTGGAAAAAAGCAGGAAAAGAAAGTAAATATTTCAATGATGTTTTCCTTTCACATTTTCAGAGGAATAAAAAAAAAGATGGTCAAACAAAACGTTTCCTCACAGCTAAACTGATGCATTTAGATCAGTCTGCAGAGATTTTCTTCTCCCCCTTCCTCATCTTCCATTCAGCCATTAGCCTCTGAAATAGAAATAGTCTCTTACTGTGCCTGTGCTCAAGACTTTGCACAAGGGCTCTTGATTCCAGCTGGAGTCTGCCAATGACTGTGGTGCACGTTATAATGAGGAGGAACAATGGTGTGACATAAAGGAAGGAAGGATATTGCAAATTACTCCAGAGACCACAACATGAGTAGTCCCTGGCCATTTGGCTGTGGTCAATCTCTAGTTCCCCAAGTCACCTCTGACTAGGTCCTGTTTGCCCCAGGGAGCAAAAGCAATGGGGCAACATGGAAAAATTCTGCAATTATTAAGATAACACCAGATGCTAATGGTATTGATTTTCTGTTCTAACAGCTATCTGTTTTGTCCTGCTTGTCATTCTTGCTGTCTTTGTGTGACTCGCCAAGCAGACAACACGGTAAGTGGGATGGAACGAGGGAAATGTGAAATCTAAACAAAAAATCCCCAGCAGTGGAAGAGTTATTGACAGATCAGCCACCTCCCTATTGCACTGCTTAAATTTCTGAATACCTTCTTTGGTATTAAATAAGTGACCCTGGGTTTTGGGTTGTCTGGTTCAGCTATCAAGCACTGGCACAAGGAAAGGAGGAAGCAGAGCTTTTGAAATCAAAAAACTTTGGAACGGGTTGCCCAGAGAGGCTGTGGGCTCCTCATACCTGGAAGTGTTCAAGGCCAGGCTGGATGGGGCTCTGAGCAGCCTGGTCTAGTGGAAAGATATCCCTGCCCAAGGCAGGGGGGGTTGGAACTAGATTACCTTTAAAGGTCCCTTTCATCCCAAACCATTCTGTGATTCTATGATTCTAAAAAGCTTTAGATGGATGAGATGGCTTTGTCCCATCCAGTGTGAAAGTGAGAATGACAGTTCAAACAATGGGCAGAAAATTAACCCCATGGGGAAATTAGGGCTAATTATGCAAATATGTGGGTTTCAGATAAATTTGCACAGTCAGTCTTTCTCTCCCTGGCTAACTAACCTGTGGGAAGTCTGGGGAGTACCTGCCACCACAACCACGTAATTCTGTTTCCCTCATCCCCCTGATTTCTGAGTCGTGTCATGACAACTTTGTGCTTCAGACCTATTTTAGTCTGGCCTCCTGGCTGTTTCTGTTACTACACTGAGATGCACCAAGACTGTTCCTGTTCATGGGCTCCTCAGCCTTATTAAACCAAGATGTCCCTATCTGACATTTGAGAGTTCTCCTCTTCTCCTTCCTCTTTGCTAATCCTCTTCCCCATTTCTCTTCATGTTCCTTACTGATAACTGGTTGCTCTTCTTCTTAGCTGAATGAGGATTTTTCTTAAAAAGGAGGAAGGGAGGACCTTGTGAAACCACATCAGCAGTGGATTTTTGCCAGTTCATGACAGGATGAAGCCATATAAAGTGTAGATAATATTTTGAAGCATGCTTTAGTGAAGATGGTCAAGCATGGCGCAGATTGTAGGATTTTGGGCCATTGTATGATTTCTGAAAATATAGTAAGTGAAAAAGTGTCAAGAATTATCCACATTTTACTGGCCCTGTGGTGGAAGAAGTGATGAAATTGCTGATATCAGACAAGATAGTAACTGAGTAATAAATGAAACAGGAACTGAAATCCTAAGTGGTGTCTTCTGCAAAAAGTACTCTATGGTTTCTCCTAGTAAATATAGAAGAAGTCATAAGAAAACTTACTTCTTCCCTCCTAGTAAAGTATTTTTCCCATTGTAGGGAAGACTTCTAAGGGAATTGGGGTATTCAGATGCAAACTTGTGAAGTTGATGACTTGTCACAGAAGACAACAGGTTGGTGCAGCAACTCCAACACCACAAGTGGCAAAAGAGGAGGAAGCCTGGACACTCAAATCCAGTGTGTGAAGGAGGTAGAAAATATTGCAGCTTAATTCTTGCGGGGATAGAGTGACTTTCCACCTACAGAGTACTAGTTGAAGGAGTGCACCCCATCACTGACAGATGGGGAAAGACCCCTGCCTGAAACTGCTTCCCAAAAACACTTCTCCCTGTCCTGGCATATAGCAGATTCATTGGTAATATAACTGCAGCCCCTCCCAAGCGACCAGGAGCACATATTGGCCACTTGACCAAGCGCATTAGATGGTGACACTCTCATTTCAGCCCACACAACACCTTCCCCACAAACAGGCCTGCTTTGCTAGTTACCTGATGTCCCCTCCACTCCCTTCCCTACTCAGATGGGTCAAATGCAGTCACACTTTTCTCCTTCTCAAACTGTTCCTCTTGGAAATTAAACCCATTTACCCCCCTGCACACAGGCTGAAAATGTGACTGGATTCACTTATAGTTCACATGCATTCATCATCACCCCCCTCTTCCCAAGTGTTTTGGGCTAGTCCCTTCCACAACAGTTACTACATTATTGCTCCAGCTCAGACAAGGAGCTGTAGATTGTGGCAGCTGATTAATCTGACAGCTCCTTTCGTAGCTGCAGAGAGCGAGAGAACTCAGAGCAAAGCCATTTGAGGACAGGCTCAAACACACACAATACTTGATGTGTACTTATAAATTACTGCGAATTGGTGAAGCCTGAATCGTTCTTCTGCCTGTTTTTAGCCACCTCAGCCTGGTAAGACGGTTTTCATCTGGCTGACTGCAAGTGTCTGTGTCTGAGGCAGACAATGGGAAGGAACAAGTCCCTTTACAGAGCAGTTTGTCTCACCCTATTGCCCAAATATATGTAATAATAAATATGTATTATATATTATAATAATAAATATATTATTATGTAATATATGTATGTGTATATTTCTTTATTTAGGCCACGTATACACACAGACACCTATGCATACACAGATATATAGATATAGCTATAGATATACACATAAAATTATTTGTGGTCTACTGACACCTGTTTCTCTGCATTGACTTGAACGATCCCGGATTGACCAGATTAACTATAAGTGCTTATGTGTCATATGACAAAAGCCAAATGGCTTATAATTCAGAAGGCATGAGGTCTTGGTGCAGTTTTTTATTTTAAGATAAAATGTATATGTCATTCTTTTACTGGTTTGTATTCCTGTTGACTTATTCTCATTCTATAGCCTTGATATTTATATTTCTCATGGCTTTTTTTTTATTCCTGTTGGAATAGGACTTATTTGTAATACGTCTTTTACCGAGTAAACGCTCAGTCAGGTCGCGGATTGCACTAAGTTGGGTGGGAGTGTTGATCTGCTGCAGGGTGGGAAGGCTCTGCAGAAGGATCTGGACAAGCTGGATCAACAGGCCAAGACTAATTGGACGGGGTTCAACGAGACCAAGGGGCGGGTCCTACACTTTGGCCACAATAACCCTGTGCAGCACTGCAGGCTGGGGACAGAGTGGCTGGAAAGTGGTCCAGTGGAAAAAGACCTGGGGGTGCTCAATAGCACCTGGGGGTGCTCAATAGCAGCTGAACATGAGCCCAGATGTGCCCAGGTGGCCAAGAAGGCCGATGGCATCCTGGCTTGTATCAGCAACAGTGTCGCCAGCAGGACTAGGGAAATGATTGTCCTCCTGTACTCGGCACTGGTGAGGCCACACCTCGAGTGCTGTGTCCACTTCTGGGCCCCTCGCTGCAAAAAGGACATTGAGGTGCTGTGGCAAGTCCAGGGAAGGGCAACAAAGCTGGTGAAGTGTTGAGAGGGTATGTCCTGTGAGGAGTTGCTGTGGGAGCTGGGGCTGTTTAGCCTGGAGAAAAGGAGGCTCAGTGGAGATCTTATAGCTCTCTACAACTCCCTGACAGGAGGTTGTATCCAGGTGGGTGTTAGCCTCTTATCCCAGTCAACCAACGACAGGATGAGAGGATACAGTCTCAAGCTGCCCCAGCAGAGGTTCAGATTGAACCTCAGGAAGAATTTCTTCACAGAAAGAGTGATTAAACACTGAAACAGGCTGCCCAGAGAGGGTGGTGGAGTATTCAGGGAATGACCGGACATGTTACTTAGTGCTGTGGTCTCGTTGACAAGGTGGTGATTGTTCAAAGGTTGGACTTGATCATCTTGGAGGTCTTTTCTAAACAAATTGATTCTCTGATTCTGTAATTCTCTGATATGGCCCTTCACTCTGAATGAGAAGGAAGGTTTGAAGAGAAAAGTAGAGGAAGCAAGGGTAAAGAAAGCCATTTTCCTCTTCAGGCATCCCTTTTCTTCTGAGAAGGGCCACAGGCATGGATGGCATAAAAGGAGACAAGTTCCAAAGAGATCAGTGTTATTGGAAGTGTAGGGAGTAGCCATTCACACAGGCAGTGGGTATTCAGAAGGAAACTCTCCATTTGACAGTGCTATCTTCTGCATGACTTGGAAGCATAAAAACACAACTTGGTTTTAAAAGAGGGCTTTTAATTTATGTTAGATGTGAAAATACCTGTAAGTTTGACGTGTGCTTTGCAAAGAGAGGTGTGTGCTTGGACTAGTTCACAGATTTCCATTTTATGAGCCTTATCTGTCTTATAATGGTTTCATAAAGAAAATTCTGGCAACATCATTGACACTGAGAAATTTTTATGTGCAATATGTAGGAGTGCTCCTCCTGTGCCATGGGAGTAGGAGCTGTGTGCTGGAGTGATCTGTGTTACTGACTGCACTTCATGGGGCTGAAGGATGGGCAGTTTTGGATCCTCTGTTTGCAGCCATATGCCAGGACACAAGCTGAGAGAGTTGGGGGTATTCAGCCTGGAGAAGAGAAGGCTCCAGGGAGATCTTAAAGCCTCTTCCAGTACATACAGGGGCTTCAGCAGAGCTGGAGAAGGTCTTTTGGTGCTTTCAGAGGGAACCTGAATGTGACCTGGATTGTCCAAAGCAGCTCATATTGTAGTGGCCTTACAACAGAGCTGATGTTTACACAGACATTACTAATTATCTGTAGAGTTTTCCATGAGCTGCTCTTAGATGGAATTACATCTGCTGAGGAAAGAGATATTTGAAAGTGCAAAAGACTTCATATGCTTGAGGATTTTCATTACTGTTGGAGCTCCAGTATTTGCACAGTTGCTGTGCGAAAGCTGTGTGCATAAATCACATTGGAGGGGAACCACACAATAACCAAGAGAACCAGTAAAAAAATAAATAGGGAAATTCTCCCACTGTGTAATTTGTCTGAAAAGGTTTGCTGGTTCTTGTGTAAATGGAGTGTAACTTCAGAGGATCCTATCCAGATACACAGTAGTTCCTCAGAAACTGAAGGTGTCGAGTTAGAAAACTTGTAAAACAGGAAAGTTTGGCCTTTGTATGCAGAGGATAAGTTGGTTAAACAAACCTCTAATATTGACCTGATTTCTTAGTCTAACTCTGGGTGTGAAAAGTCTTATCGGGATGACACTATTGTGGGTGTTATGGCATCTTCAGGGTGGATTTGGACACCCTTCCTCCTGCAAGGATGCTCTGGGGACTGTGACGTCACCAGTCATGGAAATTTCAGCAAGAAGCAACTTGTGGTTTATATATAAGATGACCCTGCAATCCAGCACTGAAGTCATTGATTTTTATTGTGAACTACTCAGGAACTACATGATCTAGCACACACTGATCTTTTGATTGACACATTGAATACATTGATTATATTGAATACACTGAAGACATGTCACAAAATCATTTAGCCATAAATCTGCAGAGAAGGTTCAGAAGCACAGCAGAGAATGAAATTATCCAAGCAGAGAAATTTATCTCTGGCTGGTCAAAGCTTCCTGTAGATCTGGTGCCTGAGCCTACCTATCTCAGACCTCAGCTCCTGCTCCTACAAGGTGCAGGTTTCAAAAACAAGCCAACAAAACCTTGTCCCAGCATCACAGAATCACTGAATTGCTGAGGTTTGGAGGGACCTCTCAAGATCTCCTAGTCCAGAGCCCTGGTCAAGCAGGCTCAGCTAGAGCAGGTTGTCCAGGATCATGTCCACTTGGGGCTTGAGCCTCTCCAGCAATGGAGACTCCACAACACCTGTGGGCAACCTGAGCCACCCTCGTCCCACAGCCTCCCTAAGGAGGCGAGGGACAAGTCAGCAGCAGACTCTGAGGGACAGCTAATGAGGAGAGGAAGGAACTGAGACCTGTCTCTGAGCAGGGAGCAAAAGGGAAACAAGGCAAAGCCCTTCTGGTCTCACTGAGAAGCTCTGATTTCCTTGTCCATGGGCTCTTCTCAAGCTGTTCCCTCCAGACTGCCAGGGCAAGGACTCACCCCTAAGAGCTCCCTGCCAGGATGGGAAGCAAAGCAAACCAGCTGGAGGCTCTGCTCACCTCCTTCTCCCTTTTATCAGGGCAGGAGGAGGAGTTGCCCTGAGGGACAGAGCTGGAAACCCACCAGAGAAGGGAGCAGGATGGACACTGCACAGGACATTGGTCTCCATCTACTCTTCACTCATGAGACCCCACCTGCAGTGCTGCCTCCAGCCCTGGGGCCACAACATGAGAAGGACACAAACCTGTTGGTGTGGAGTCCAGAGGAGGCCACAAAGGTACTCTGAGAGCTGGATCACCTCTGCTCTGGAGACAGGCTGAGAGAGCTGGGGGTGTTCAGCTGGAGAAGGCTCTTAGGAGAATTTAGATCCCATTCCAGTACCTAAAGGGTCTCCAGGACAGTTGGAGAGGGACAAGGGCATGGAGTGACAGGAGAAGGTGGAATGGCTTTAAACTGGCAGACTACATATCAGGGAGAAATCTGTCCCTGTGAGGGTGGTGAGGTCCTGGCACAGGTTGCCCAGGGAAGCTGTGTCTGCCCCATCCCTGGAAGTGTTCAAGGCCAGGTTGGACATGGCTCTGAGCAACCTGGTCTAGTGTCCCTGCTATATTTCAGAGGGGGTTGGGACTGGATGATCCTTGAGGTCCATTCCAACTCAAAGCATTCTGTGATACTGTGATATGTGAGAAAAGCCCCTGAGCCGTTTACACCCGGGATGTGAGGGGTTTGTACGGGGACAGGAACTGTGGAAGAGAGAAACATTTTGCATTCCATACAGCTGGGCCAAACTGTTCTCCAGCTGCCCCAGAGTGAGGTCCCAGACCTGGTCCTGGTTGTTCTCGGCAATGGCCGCCCAAGCACTCATGGTGTTGTTCTTGGTCTTGCAGCAGGCACCAGACCAGATGTGGCTGGGTACATTAACCCTCCCATTGGAGATAGAGGAGTTCCCAGGCACAGCCCCCACAATGACATAGGTAGTTTGACAGTCCTGGCTTTTATTGGCCATCATTTGCTGCTCATAGTTTCTCCAGGCATGTCGGTTGAGTTTTTCATTCATGGGCACTATGTTGGTGAAGGTGAAGGTCACATTCCTGCTGTCCTGGGTGTTGTGGTGGCCATTGGGGTTCAAATAGCCACAGTCCCAACCGCTGTTCTCATAGTCTGTGTTGACAGCCTGGCTTTGCATGATTTTCTCTTTGGTGATATTGTATTGATGTTCGAGGGTCCGCACTGTTTGCATGTTTTTGGGCAAATTTGAAAGTATCAGCTTGACAGGTAAGGAAGAGGAAAAGGTGTTAGTATTGGGGATGGGAGTACTGGAGCAGGTTTCCCTGGAGCAGAAGTCTCCAGGTGTCAAGAACACATTTTTTCTCTTCTCAGTCTATGGAAACATATGAATCCGAGAGAAATCCTATAGCTGCCACTCTTGGATGAACTTAAAATCTTTTAAGATAAAAGAAGCTCAGAATTTGACTGCTCTCCTTTTGACTTGTGACCTTTGTGATCCAGCCTGCAACCTGCATTGGGAGTGTGGCTGCATACATGAGATACTGAGCATTTTCCACTCTGGCTTTGAAAGAAGAAAGGTCTTTGGTGAGAAACCTTCCCTGAAACAGCTGGTTCCCTTTCAACCTGTCTCCAAACCCACTTCTACCACAGATCCTCCCACCCCCAGTCTGTCATTCTCTGATTCCATCTGTGGCTGCTACAGGTGTACCACACTCCTGGAACACCAGGGTTTACCTCCTGTAACCCCAGACACAGGGAGATGTGTTGAGAAACCAGTCCTAGAGGTGAGCTTTCCCAGGGGGGCTACAGGTCACTGCAAGGATGAAGCCTTTTTGGTCATTAACCAAAAAGACCTCAATGCAAATGGGATCTGCTACTGCAGTCCTAATAATGTGTCTCAGAGCTGATCTGGGACAGGGAGCATCTTCTGCAGCCTCACTGAAAAGAAGTTAGAAATGATCAGCCTCTTCAAGAGCTCATAATCCCCAAAGAGTCCTGAGGAACCCAAGTACTGAAAAGGACCTCTGAATAAAGTTACCAAAATCAGAGTTTGCACGAGGCCTGGCTCTGTGGTCCAGGAGTAAAAGGGCCAGGTTGGATGGGGTTCTGAGCAACCAGGTCTAGTGGAAGGTGGCCCTTCCCATGGCAAGGGGGTTGAATTGAGATGATCTTTGATGTTCTTTCCAACACAAACCCCTCTATGATTCTATGAAACAAGACAAGCTTTTATCCCAGCCTTAAATGTGGAGACTGCAGTGGTGCAATGTCATATTAGTTGTTTGAGTTCCAATGAGTACAGAGTGGAAATGTTTTTTTTTTCAGAATTCCAATGCCTTTCTGTTCATCTTTGGAAACACATATTTATTCTCCCTCTGGAACAGAGCAGATGGCTTTCTTCTGTGGTTCATGAATACCTAAATTCCATCCTGGTACTCTGTCCTTGGAAATGACCTGAACTTCCTCTCTTTCTGTTCCATAATTCCCTTGGTTTTTTTTACTGGAGGTCTGAAGGACATTTGGGAGAGCTCTGTTGTTTGTGGAGCTCTGAGTGTCTGGTGGATTCTTCTGAACCAAGCCTGAGGCAACAGTGCACCCCCTTCTGACTGGACTGACACTGATGCTCCTCACTTTTCACTGCCTGAAATATCACTCAATACATTCCCCAGGGTTCACCAAACCCTCTCACCACTCAGTGTCTGTGCCAAGGCTTTTTCCCTGGGCCATCTCACCCAATTCTGAGTTTCTCCTCACTTCTCTCACATCACTTACAAAGACAAATGGAGTCCTAACTGTGAGAAAGTAAGCTCTGTCAGGGATGCAAAACAGCTCAGGGCAAAGTGAAGATCAGAATCCAGCAGGACTCTTGGTCCCCCAAATTTAGCTGCTGTTGGATGCCTTTTCCCCATCACTTGTTCTCCCAGCACAGCAGGGCACAGAGAGGGAGGTCATTTGACTTTGGAATGGAATGGAATGGAATTTGCCTTGATGTTGCTGTCAGGTCAATGCAGAAAACTGGGCACCTTTGGGATAGGACTCCTCCTACTCCTGCTGCTGTTTGAAATGCATCAGAGGAATCATGCGATGTAGGTGTTTGAAGTGAGATGAGATGAATCCCACCCAGTGGGTCCATTTGCAGGTGTGTGTATGGGGGTGGGACAAAATAGAGATGTTTGATTAAATGCTGCAGTTCATCTTTTAGTGACTGCAGAGTGAAATGCTGTAAGAGAGGACACTCACCTGGGGCTCAACTGTCCATGTGTGGTTTGTGTGGAACTTTCCAGGCTTGTATTTGTAAGCAGAGTACACGGGAATACGCCTGTCTTTGTCGTACAAGGTGGCAAAGAAACGCTGGTTGTTTAAGGTCTGGCAGATCCAGGCTGGGTTCTGTGGCTTCATTGCTGCATCTGGGG